CATTTAACCACTGCGCCACCTCGGCACAGTGAGGGGTGTATTCACTTTTGTTCCCATCAGTTTAGACGTTAATGGCTGCGTGTTGTGTTATTTTGAGGGGACAGCACGTTTCCACTGTTATACAAGCTGTATCCTCACTACTTTACATAGTAGTCAAGTGTCATTTCTTCAGTGTGGTCTCATGGGAAGATATACTTAAATATTTACAAAGTGCGAGGGCGTGTACTCCTGTGATATACTGTATATTTTACATGGTCAATTCCTTTAACCAGCTATGACCCTCCTGTGCCCAGAACTCCCAAGTGGCTTTCTCAAGTTGAAGCAACTCCTTCTTGTTCAAGAGACACGTATCATCACTACCCCGACTGCTGTCTAATAGTCTTCCTCCTCCTCTTCAAAAGTTTCACCAGCCGTAGCTGCCTCCAGGGCTGCCAGGGCCTCGGCGACTTCTGCATCTTCTTCCAGTTCTCCGTTGACCTTGACGAGGCCGTCCCATCTGGCTTTCCACGCCGGCTCTCCTTTGTTCCTTGCAGAGAGGATCTGGGTGGCTATTTGGTCGTCGAACGAGAGGCCGAAAAGACTCGTCCTCCTCCAGACGCCGTCCCCTTCATCGGACTCATCGGACTCGCCGCACGGCAGGTTGTGGCCGGCGGTCATGTTTTCCGTGCTTTGGTTGATTTGCACCAGGTGGTTTGAGAGGTTCTCCTTCGTGACAGCCCTCGATTTCTCCGCAGGGTTGTCCTCGGGGAGAAAAGATGGGTTATCCAACCGAAAGTCTTTGCCTCGGATCTCTGGTAGGGCACACACGATGGAAAAAACGGTTCCGTCGATAGCCTGGAAACCTTCCTCCTTGCAAAGGGCATTCGAGATTTCCAAAGTTTGCTTTGGGTGATTTTCATGATCGAAAAACTCGAGTTGATCACCTGTTTTTGGCTGCAAAACTTTTTGGCCTGGAGGATCAGGCCGCTGAGCCGAAGAGCTGTGCAGGTTAATCTCTTTAGGTTGGGTTCTAGGAGGAGGGGCGCTGAGATTCGTGGAGGAATGGATCCCATTCACGTTACATTTTACTACGGCGTTTCCAAGTCCTTTCTCCGGAAGAGCAGGGATTCTGGAACCCCAGAGATCATTCTTGGAGTAGTGGGACCTGCACTGGTTTGCTGCTACTGGCGCCTCAGCAATCTGGGCTTCGTTTTGATGGCCCAGAATGTCACTGTTCTGCTTGCCGTGAAATTTCCCTCTTTCTTCCTCCTCTGGTTTATAGTTTATCTCGTTGATGTATGCAGCCGTCTGCACGTCTTCGGGATGAAAGATGTAGCTAGGGGAAAAAAGGAGGATACCCAGTTATTCAATTTTTCTCCGCCCCGTTATGGAGAAAACTGCTCATTTCGCCAGGATTTCTCACCTGAATTTTGAGCATTTTTTACCGCAATAGAAAAGCACGGTGCAACTACATTGAAATGGAATTAAAGTTAACTACCCATGCTCTTGATGTTTGGAAGGCCAACCTCATTCTTTCATTGTGCTTTCACTTCTACTTGACTGTTTAATAGTGTCCGTTGTGGGGAAAACTGATTAACAAATTATCTACCTACCTACCTAGCTACCTAGCTACTTACCTACCATCTATATGTGTGTCCCATCCATCCATCCATCCATCCATCCATCCATCCATCCATCCATCCATCCATCCATCCATCCATCCATCCA